ACAATGTAACATCCACGTTTAGTTTGTCACGTTAAATATCATAATATGTACAGAATTCAAACGACATTACATTCCTATAAGTGTTTCAACGTTTAGCAAGTTAAGGCAATTTTATTGTATTGTATTTGTACATCCAAATAAAAATTTACTTTTATGAAAAATTCATTTTAAACGAATGAAATACTAAAATCCGATTGCAGGATTTGTTAGCAGTATATTTTTCTATTATTATAATTCATTATAAGTGCGCTTGCGTAAATCATATCTGAATTTACTATTGTAATTGCTCGATCGTCTTACAAATTTCCCTAGATATGAGTTCTCGATGATGTAACGGTCAGTGACCCCCACCTCCCACTTCTAAAATGTTCTACATGCCATGCATCACCTACACTTTTTCTCTTTTATGAATGATACTTGAGTGATAGAAAATTACGTTCGGGCATTGACCACAAGGAAAACGATAAAACAACGTAAACACCTGTCCAATTTTATGTACGTTTTGATAGCGACAAAACTGATACGCGCGTACACCCAAAAAATTAATTACCATATTCAGTTCGTCATTCTCTTACAAAGCAAATTTAAAAAAACGTACTTCGTGCGTATTTTGGAAAGAATATTTCGAACATAGAAAAACAAAAAAAAGAGATGCATCCTTGAACTCTACCTATTAATTCCGTTTTTTATCCTTTTTTCCGCAAACGTGTTTAACCATGAATTTACTTCGAAAGGCACATGTCTCTCGTGTCACATTTCTCTTTGTCCATACTTCATTTTTCAATGACTGAAATATTAATTTCAGTCTATTATTACCTATAATTATTAATGCTATTTCTTAAATATACTTCGAAGTAAAGAGTTGTGCATTTCCGACATCACCGCCATCTTTTATTCCCTACCGTACGACCTACTGTTCGCTTTCTCTTTTCTCGTTCAACAAGTTCTCATGTTTATTCCATTTCTGATTCGAACAATTGATCGTTTATTAATCATTATTAAGCAAAGTACCTAGAAGTATAATTATAATTTTATTTAGTTCGCTAATTTAAAGAATTTAATCAGTTTTTAAATGTAATTCCGAAATATTTAATAAACTACAAGATGGGATTATCTAAATAGAGCATCTACTCGAAGTTTAATTATAGCGAACCTCTTTATTAGTTCTATTTTATTCCATTTTATCCATTTTTGTGGATTTACTATGATCAGAATCTCAATATATACATACATATAGGACATTGCTTCGTTTCTCTTTTCGTTTGTACACTTCTCACGGCGAACCTAACCTAACTTATTTTCCCGCGTTGTATAAATTATTTCATTCACGCTCTGCACCTATCATGATAATCATTATATGTTAAATATTAGAAGTTCTAACTATAAATCTTTTACTCAATTATAATAAGGATAGATAAGGTTAATCAAAATTTTTAGTGAAAGTTGTTTATACTTAAAAACCCTTTTGTACAAGGTTATGGGCTTTGGAGTAAGTATGAATTGTAGGAAAACAATTAGCTTTGAAGAATCCTGAAGCTGATCGAAAACTAATCCACGAAACATTATTTGTGTAAGAGTACACCAATTGTTGCAATTGTGTGCATTCTGATGTATGCTAAATTTGATGAGAACAGAAAAATATAAATTGGAAATCTGTATCCGAGAAATAAAAAACGACGCAAAAAAATAACTGCACGAACTTACTTCATCATGCAAGCGGGCAACCTCGAGTTTCAAAGGAATTTTTCCTTTCCGCGAACATTCTCCATTTGCTCGTCCAATACATTGCTGTATTCCAAAATTCACAGTTTCACTTCGATATTTCTATTAAGATGTACTGCAGAACCGTGCATGTGTACTATTTAATAGACTATAAATACAAAAGGTAAACCTTGTGAGGTTAAAAATCAACGTTGCACGTTGACGTTTGAGGTTAGAATCGACAGGTAGCAGTAGTAGTAAAATTGGAAGAACGCATGCGCAGTAAACTGTATATACATTACGTACCCAACTTCAATCTTTTGCTCACGCGTATTTCAACTTACGCGTATAAATTGCAGAAATCCGATGCAAATCAGATTATTTATAATTCAACTAGGAACAATGAAAATATAAATGAGACAACGGTACATATAGTCAAGTTTTGATTGACCTACTTTTCCATAACAGTTGAAAGTTGATGCTTCAAATTTTTAATTACGAGTACCGTATTTCGGTCAAACTATCTAACACACTTTATCGGCTATTTACTTGAATCATTGGCTCGCCTCTCGCATTTAACTTCGTAAACAACCATTCATGAGGAATAGGACGCGGTAACCATTTGCTCTTCCTAAAATGGACAAAGATCCCTCGAAATAGCATATTCACTGAGTCCTCGTGACTCCAGTTCATTGGTCGAACTCCAGTCGTGTTCTCGGCTCGAGGGATTCGGAAAAACGGTTGCCGTTTTAATTACAACGTTGGGAACACATAGAAGTCATGCAATGGCGAGTGCGATAGCGAACACACCTACAAGCTTACCTGTGCAGTTGTACTGGAGTGGATCTCGCGGGTAAATGTTGGTTATGCGAGACCGGTGGTTGGGTCTGACCCCTACCGGGGGTCGACGTTACGCCGACGAGAGAGTGGCCATGGGACCCGTGAGTATGACCGTGGGGGTGGGCGTGTGGGTGTGGAGGATGAGAGTGGGGGTGAGGATGATGATGGTGATGCAAATCTGCCCCCACTGGACCCACAGGGCCCACTGGACCCCCCACCCCCAGTCCGCTCACTACCTGGACTTGCTTGCCCACTGTCTCCATCACCCCTAACGCATTGTGTACTGAAACAAGTCCCGTCAAAATTCATTTCAACTCTCGTGATTTTCATTTAACTTTCGCTCGTTTTCTTTATGTTTCTCTGGATAACATTAAATACCGTGTATGCGTTACCACGTGTCTGAGTTCACAAGAAATTGAATATTACCGTAAAAAGAAATCAGAGATACTATTCCACGAATTTAATTAATCATTTCGTACCGTGAAACCGGAATTGCCGAAGGAACAATAAACATGTTATTTGTCAACAGACGGTGGCAATGTGAGAAAACCGAGGAGAATGGTAAAGCAACGGTTACATGGATCCCCGTGATTCCACGAACGCTACGAATAAACGGTCAAGTATACAAATAAATGGATAAAAGCAATCGTTCGGTGACTGCTTGCGAAACAAATGAAAAATGTCTGCTATCGCGATTGCGTGTCATCCTTAAAAAGAAGGAAAAAGTTTACAAGGACATCAACGGTAGGCATCATCAAAGTAACGGTACTGTAATGACTCTCAAAGCAAGGTAAGCGTACACGAGCAGTTTCTCGGCAAAGGAAATGAAATCGGTCGTTCAACGAGAGTAATGGGTAATCGTAATTGCTGGCGTGTAAACGAATTATCAATTTATTCCATGCGGACTGGCGACCGAAATTCATCCTCGTATTCGGAAAAATCCTCGAACTCGATCGCAACGTGTTATCCCACGGTAGGATACATCATCGCGAATTCGAACCAAAGAGAAAGATGGTATTAAAGCAGAACGAACCGACGACTTTGTAAGTCATGCGACGCGAAGATGCATACCGCTGTGCGTCATGAGATGACCTGACCGTCTGGCTTTCAATGTAGTCTACCCATAATCAACATACAAATGTACAGGGTGTTCGATAAAGTCGCCGTACGATGTAACGAATTTCCTTCGACAAACGGTGGCGTACTGTGCCCCCAGGTTCAACCAAAAAAAAATTCGAATAGAAAATTTCCTATTTTATTCGGTCGCAACCGGTTCACAAACGACACCGATAAACACGAGAACCGATATTCGCTGGGTAAGGTAATTGAGTAAATAATATCCCATGGCAGATCGAAGCGGCGCTTTTACGGCGGTGTAAGTAGACTAGTAACGGAAAAACAACTTACCGGTAATGACGTCAGCTGCGGAAGGTAAGCCGGATCTCGAATTTCCCCGACGAGTTGGTCGATCCGCACAAGAATAATTCACCGCTTCAGTCTCGAGTGAAAATCACGTACATGTGCGCGCGTAATCACGCACACATACGTACGCGTGCACATACGTGGGTACACCAACCGATCTATTTATAAATTCTATATCGACGTTAAAAACTTTTACGGGACACGCTACTCCACAACATTATACTGTACGTCGGCGAACTTTACTTCCCACACTGGCTCGACTTCAAATCCCTTTCTTTTTGTTTATCATTTCCTTCTTACTTCACCGCTCTCGCACTTTCTTTCTTCCGCGCGCACTTCGTTATCTTCCTGTCGTCGTCAATCGCTGCTTCTCTCTCTCTTTCTCCCTCTTTCTTTCTTCTCTCTCTCTCTCGCTCTTTCTCTCTCGCACGCACGCTCTCTTTCTCTCTCGCTCTCTTTCGCCCCTCTTTACACGTACACTTTCATGCGTTCATGTACACCGACTCGTATACCGTGACACACTCGACGAACACACCACTCGACGACCGACCTTTCGAATTTCTTTCTTCCGTTGTTGTTCCAGGGACGACTTCTGCGGATAACAGTCGGAGAAACGTGACATTAGTATTACGGTGAACCTTCTTGCGAATCGAATATGGACGATACTCGAGGGAGACGCGCACGCACAACTTAATACGTCATTACAGTCCGTTCTTGTGTACGTTTCGCGCGTCGCTGCGTGTACGAATGAAACGAACACTGATCGTCGTCGGCATGCTCGCGGAAAATCTCAAGAAACTTTAGAAGGATGATGGTGTCACACAGAACAAGACCGGACGCGTGTCTGCGTCTCGCGCGAGCGATCCTCAGGACCGTCCGAGCACGTACCGCGTCGTTTCGAGCACCGATCGTCTCAACGCATGCATGTTGGGGACAGTGTACCTTCTATGATTGCGAAAAGACGCGACCACGGGGCTTTTACACGGTGAGATTCTTGTTTGCATTATTCATCCGATTTCGAATTTGGAAACGTTCCGTCGAAGCTAGATGTCTGATAGAAGCAACGTGGAAAGATAGAATAAAAAATGAAACGAGTTCGAGAAGAAGAACGACAAAAAGGGGAGAACCAAATGGAAAAAGGGAGAAGGGGATGAAAAAAGGTGATCGCGAAAGACACCGGTGTCCCTCTCGCCACAAACACTAATCGTCGTCTCGTTTTAACCGACTGACCCTATCACCGATTAGGCGGAGCGCGTTGCACTCCACTTGTTCTCACAACTTCCGGTTCAGCTGTTCGCACAAAAGTCCGCATATCTTTCCGACGTCCCGCTCTTCGCGAGAGTCTCGGCTTCTATCCTTCCGTCTCCCGCTCTCTTTTTACCGAACACTAACAATCACTGTGAATACACCTTGCGAAAACGTGATCGCTCCATGATTTCGTCACTGCCACGTGGTGGTTCACACTCGACTTGCTGACTATATCTGTAATCCAGCGGTGATTCCTTGTTCTCGGTAAAGTCATTTTCGTTTCTAGCCAGAATCCCGCCAGCAACGATGCCGTCGACGCTGCCACGTCTCCTATCGCTGCTGTCACGATGCGAGCTCGTCCGCAGGCTTGTTTTCATCACGGTCCTATTGCACCCCTCGTTGAACCGTTATTTCGCGATTCCACCTGAACCGCGAGGAGAGGTTCCCTCGGACGTAATTGTAGCACAGTGCGTGTACGATGCACGCACTGTGCACGTTTCCCGCGCACGTGTGCCAGCGCCACCAGGAGAAAGAAATTGGATGACTTTCAAGATGGCAGAACGAGAAATACACTGTATGTTTTTACGTATACACCCGTCCGCGGAGATACTCGCACGCACACTCAGCTCAGCCGTCGCACGGTAGCGATGGTCCGAAACAACGTTCTTCTTCTTTTATTTCTTCTTCTCCTCCTCCTCCTTCTTCTCCTTCCTTCTCTTCTTCTTCTGCTTCTTCCTCTTCTCTCAAAGTTATTAATGCTATTCACAGCTGTTGCTTCCGCCGGTTTTCACTGCAACACTTCCTTTTCTTTTCTGCATCTCGTTCCGAACCACACGATGTCCAGTGACCAACGTTCGTCGCGGACAGATCCCAGCTACGTTTACGGCTTCCTCTTCACACCGTTACGCGATTTACTTTCGAGCGTTCAAACGTTCCATCTCGGTGTACTGCTTCATTCCCGTGTGTCTCGGTAGTGGCGGCGATAGCAGCAACGGCATCAGCCCGGCAGTGTTTTCTGTAAACAACACATTGTTCGTTTGTTTCAGTGAGGGATTCGTTTCTGTAATTACGTATTAGAATGTGTAACGGTGTCGATCGTATGTTAATTATCATCGAGCAAGAATCTATATGTACCGTAAGATTAGTAGCATATTTATAAAGTATAAGCATTTGTACGTGTACTTTTTAACTATCGTCTTTTTTTATGGGTGTACTATCAGACGCTTCTGCGTCTTATATTCGAACAGTGTTTGCTTCGGATGATGGATCTCGGGAGTTGAAATTTGGAAAATAAAAATGCAATTTTCTTTGTATGGTGTAAGGGAAGTTTGGGGGTTTCCAATTCGAACAACGTAATAATCTTGTGAACGTAAACGAGACGATTGATCTTCGCTGTAAGTAGAAAGTACCGCAGCAGGTTCCGGACGTTTGAATTGCGTTTCGAAGAAGGGAATCTATAGCGCGGCAGAAACACTGGAATTAATACGATTCGAAGATAACCGAGTTACCATTCCACCTGATAATAACGATAAACAATTTTCGTTGGCTGGTAATAAATACATCTCCGACTCGTAAGATAATATCGATCTCTCGTTTATCAGTGACGCGTAATCTATGAGATAGATTAGATTCAGACGACGCTCATAACTTGACGCCTTAAGGTGGCGAATACAACGATGGAATACGATTCGAGAAAAATTCGATTTTCCGTAACTGCCGCTTCGTTAGCCCGTAGTAGAGCTAACGATAACCTATACAACAACGCGTAAAACGTACAAGAATTCATTTGATTCCCGTTGAATACATTCCGTCCGAATTATTATTATCTTGCTAAACCTAGAACGGTCGATAGCTCCGCAGTCGTTGTGACTCAAAGTCGAGCCGAGTCGAACCGAGAAGAGTCGAATCAAACCGAACTGGACTGTGTAGTTTTGTAGCGCGTCAACGCGTAAAAAGGGGCGAGTGCGAAACAGTAGATCATACCAATGAAAAGACTATGCATCTTCCCTAATTTCTCGTTCGTCCATTCCGATAGACGTTTTCCATTAATTACGTCGGATGACCGGAACAGATAAATTATGAAATAGCTTCAGAAAATTCTACGAAAGATCAGTAAACGTGTACGATTCAAGATACTCGTGGCAACATGCGTTCAATTTTGCAAAAATGTCGAAGCAGAGAAAAGTTCAATCGGGTCAATAATTTTCACCATTAACTCATACAATTAGTTGTTCTACTTTTTTCATATTCGTGGACACCGCATATGACACGATTCGTATAATTATTTCAAAATCATGAAAAACAATGTGTGCACATGAATATTTCCCTTTAGTCTTTTCTGGTATATCCCGAAGCTAAATAATGTTGAATGATGTTTTGAGATTGAAGAAAAATATAAATAAATAATCAAAATAATAACCGCAACATCTAGCGTACAAGTAATTCCTTCATAGCTGATCCATCCATGTGATCTTAATGGAACATGAGTTCAAGTAATGGAAAACATTTTATCTCCTTACATTATATAGGTAATTTGCTTTTTCGCGATGCAATGCGAAATCTGTAAGTCTGTAAATTAATTTCTTCTTGTTGCTACGATAATTTACAAATTGTTCAAAATATACTGTCAGATTATGCATGGCGTTATATCACGTTACGTAAGTATTATACAATTATGAGTTATCTTATGTACCAATTGTTACATCTAACAAAATCTCGAAAATAAAAGTATCACGAAATTCTCTTTCATTTAAACTACACCTAGATCTCAAAGACGCGGCTAGTTCAAAGATCTCAGTTATAAACGTTGTGAAACGAAAATTTTAAATACATCACGGGTAATTTCTTATCTTACTGGCAGCTGTCTGCCATAATCATTCTTAGCATGATAGTTGATATCGAAGCTAATATGCTTGCAATTTCTTTTTATCTGTTCGTTATCATCAAAATAAGAGAACTGTACATTCAATTAATCGCGCGGTAGTATAAAAATGCCGAGAAAAAAAAATAAACAAAAGAAAGGACAAGAACGAATAACTGACAAAATTCCACTGGGTTTTCAACATTCATTTGTTTCTCCCGATAACGCGTTCTGGACAAAATTGAATGCAAGGGAATGTAAAAAAATCCATGAACCGTGAATAGGATGAACTTTCTAATGGGATCTAAAAATAAGACCAAGTCCACGACAAAGATGGCAATAACGAGTAAGTTAACGGGGCTAGAACAGAAGTAACCCGTTCGAATTTATATATGAACAAATAATACCGTTTGGTACGTACACGAATTCGCGAAATATCAATACCACAGCATCGAACTGTTTTTCTCGATCAAAGTGCTTCCCAGATAACTGATAAGGTACTCGATTCTCGTATGGATCACTTACATAACAGTGGGCGTGCACTCAAAATTAAATAGTCGATCCTCGCGGACGCGATTTTTAAGACGACGCGAAGATAAGCTTCGGATTTTCCGATTTCGGGAGCTAGCGAACACAACGGAAATCTCTGGTCGAAAGTTCGGTAACGCGAAACGTTCTCGGTTTCGGTTGGCCCGATGATAAAACCGATTCTGAACGGAACGGACACTCCTGGCGAAGGTGATGATCGGAACGCATAAAAATTTCGCGGACTGCCGAGCGAAATAATTCTGTGCACGGTACGATCTTCGAGGGACAGGGCAGAGGATAACAGTCTGGTTGCTGTCTGTGCACGGAGCTACCGAAAATCGTCGTTTCGGTCGAGAGCGAACTTTAACGGAAACACTTCACGTTCGGATATTGAAAGGGAATAAAGTTGATAATGCAAAATGACACGTCACCGATAGTTCAATAGTTACATTCGTTTGGATCGCGTATCCTCCGGAAATACGTTTTCACGGTGCCGTTCAAGAAGAAACGATCTCATAATAATTTATTCCTCCGTAATACGATAATTCGTTTTTGTTTGTTTTTTTTCATAGACATGTAACAATTATATAACATACGTACGATTTGAAAAAAATTAATCACATGCTGCGTTGTTATCTTCAAGTTCACACGAAAAGTGGTCGGAATAAGATATCGCCTATTATTAGATTCGCTATTTCAGGATCTTGAATACTCTTCAGCACGATCACACTGCTCCGGACACAATTCGAAACGTGATTGTCGCGTACGGATAGAAAACATTTGCTAGCCGGTGCACACTGATCACTTGGGCGCAACACCAAAACACACCGAGTCCGTTGAGATAACACCTTTAAAATCTTCGGTAAAAAAGGAACATGATGCAGGAACTGAAATACGCGGACAGACAAACTGACAGGCTAGCAGGAAGGCTAGTAGTCAGTCTTGTAGACAGGCTAGTAGTCAGGCTAGAAGACAAGCTAGCAGGCAAGCTAGCATACAAGTTAGCAGGCAGGCTAACACGCAGCCTAATAGTTAGGCTAGCAGACAGGCTAGCAGACCAGCATGC